AGCCATCCAGAAGGTTTCCTTGGCCAATAAAACCTCTGTTAATTAAAAGCCTCATCTCAAGCCTTCTTATTTGGCTTTACTGAAACTTGGGAAATAAAAGGTGCCATACAGCAGCATTGGGAAGGGCTTTCTTTTTCTTTCTTAAAAACGAAACAAGAAATAATGGTGTGGTGATAGCAAGACTACTTAGCAGAGTTCCTGCAAGCCAGACAAAGTCCTCAGTGGAGTACAGCAGCACTCTAGGAAATGAAGCTGGCAGCAGTATGGCTGCAGGCAGTCTATTTACTGGGCAGTCTGCCTGCTCCTCAGCTTTGTTCTTTTTAAAGTGCTGAAAGTGTCTGAGTGAACATTAAGGGGAAATAACCTTGCAAATGACACTGTTGTGGGGATATACAGTACTACAGCCACCAACCAAGCAGATGTTCCAAATGAAATCATATCAAGGCAGATGTCTGAGACATCCAGGAAATACATTACTGTGATAATGGAGATTTCAACTACCCCAACATCGACTTGGAATCAAACTCTGAAGCAAGTGAGAGAGCCAAACTTTTTATCATCAAAAAGGTGGAGGAAGGAATTAGAGACTAATTAGCTATACTGGACTTAATACTTACAAACAGGGAAGAAATAGTTGAAGAAGTGGAAGTTGTAGGAACCTTGGGAGAGAGTGACCAGGTGACCCTAAAATTCAACTTCCTGCAGGCAGGAAGAACTGAAGGTAGTCAGTTGTTCCTTGCCCTTACAAACAGACTAATGTTTGTAGGGGCAAGGAAATTGACCTTGTCGGAAATAGGCAAGAACTGTTACCTAGGCAAAAGGGGCCGAAACATTCTTTAAGCCCTAAGACTTAGATAATATCTGCAAGTGGCTCAGGCAGACACCTCCCTAATTCAGAAAAATCTGATATGCTGGATTTAATCCTGACCAACGGAAGAATTGGGAGAAAGTGACCATGCCATCTTGGAATTTGTGACAAAGGCCACAAAAATGGATCAGTTGTATCCATGCTCTAGATTTTAGAGAAACCAATTTAAAATAACTCAGGGAAAAAATAGAAACAGTAGAAAAGTCTAAAAACTTGCTGGAGAAAATAGTTCAAAATGATTGGGAAATTTTGAAAAAAGTAAAAATAATGTACTGATTGCATATGGCCAGCAAGGACTTATTATATCATTTATCTTTTAGTTATAGCAGAGACCAACTTTATAAATTTGTTTTTATTTACTGGTGCGGCAAAACATAGGATTCATTTATTTATAGGACCAATCAACTCACTCTGATTGCTGCAAACACAGTATATCTTGTTTTCAGCTTAGAGTTTGATAAAGCCTCCAAGGATAAGATAGTAAATTGTGAGCTGGACAGAAGAGAGAGATTTTAAAATCTGATCTACTTGACTGATTATGTTAGTAAAGAATATTCTAGTCCTGTGCAGGTAGGGGAGGTTACATGGGTAAAACATGTAGAGAATGTCATTAATTGCTTATGACATTTTGCGTTTCTTCTTATTGAGTTTTGTATGTATTATAAACATAATTATTAAAGGAAAATGCCCAAAAAACCTTTTTTTTTCAAAAAACCAAGTTTTGCTTTTTTTTTTTTTTGAAACCCCCCCCCCCCCAATATCCCTGAACAATAAAGTTATACACAACCTTCAATGATCTTTTGTTCAGACTGAGGGCTTGTAACTCCAAGGTGATTAAAAAGATGAGGTTTAGATTAATTTTAAGTCCTTAAAAGGCTACATTAAGGGCTCAGAGCATGGTGAAACCCGCAACTCCCAGCTGATTGCAAAAACATTGGTTTCTACTGCTGACTTACCAAAAAAAACCCAAAAACAAACCAGCTGTCTGGAATGCATGAAGGTAATTTCAAGACTTCTCTTTTATCCAGAGAGAATTATCGGCAGTCTGGATCCACATCCAGCTGCCTTTTGGCTGCAATATCTCCCATGGAGTGCAGGGCGTCAGTTTGCTAGCCACACCGGAAGTCAACCTTCAATGGTATCTTTTATTCAGATTGAGGGGTTTGTGGCCTGTTTACTGAGTAAGATGAACCCAGCTGGGATCTGTCTGATACAGGTATGCAATGTCCCTGTGAAGAGAGCAGAATGACTCATCTCACTCTCAGTAGCACTTGTGGTGGATTTTATATTTTATATAATTTATACTGACAAATGCCTTTGTTAGGAGGCTCAATAACTGGTCAGTTTGTGCTAATAAATTATCTGCATCAGTCTGAATCTGAGATGGCCAGATAAAGAACCCTCTGCTAGGCTCAGGGCTAATCAAGATTAATTAATTAATTAATGGCTCTCATGTACATGTAGAGAAGATACTTCTGCAGATGATACAAACCCTGGAGGGGTAGCTAATTCTGTGGAAAACAGGACAGATTCACAGTTATTTTGACAGGTTGAAATGAAGGGCCTCAATCAGCAAGATGAAGTTTCAAGCCATATATTTAGTAGATACATTCTCTCTCTCTCTCTCTCTCTCTCTCAAAAGCACATGAATATTAGTTAGTTAAATTTGTTATAGCTGTCCACTCTGGTAAACTCAGGGATGCTTATAAAATCCAACAATAAAACTATTTAAATCTGTTAAAACTGTTTAAAAACTGTCTTTAGATAGCGACCAGCACCTTGAATTGCTCCCAGAAGCCGACTGGCAACCAATGCAGCTTGCGTAGCAACGGTGACACACGGGCATACTGAGAAGCACCTGTTATACCACTTGTGCTGCTGCATTTTGTAGCAGCTGTAGCTTCTGGATGGTCTTCAAGGGCAGCCTCATGTAAACTGCATTGCAGTAATCTGGTTGTGAGGTGACCAGGATGTGAATAACTGTATATAGTTCCTCCTAATTGAGGAAAGGGAGCAACCGGTGCACAAAAGGAACCTGTGCAAAGGTGATGGCTGCCACTTGCTCTTTGAGCAGTAGCTGTGAATCCAGAAGGAGCCCCAAGTTGTGCACCAGTTTTAAATGGGGAAGTACTACCCCATCCAAGACCAACAATGAAAATGTTCCTGACTCTTGGGTGCCAAATAGCCAAAACCACTCAGTCTTGTCAGGATTGAGCTGAAGCCTGTTCTGCCCCATCCAGACCTGAGCAGCCTCCAGACACTGGATCAGGACATTGGGTGTTTTACCTGCAGAGTCCAGAATTGAGTTGTACAGGTAGTCCTCAACTTAGGATCACAATTGGGACCATAAAATTCGTTAAGTGGTGTGGTCATTAAGTGAGGCATCACATGACCACACCCGATTTTATGACATTTTTGTGGAGATCGTTAAGTGAATCGTGGTTCCCCATTGATTTTGCTTGTCAGAAGCCCCCTGGGAAGGTCACAAGTGGCAATCATGTGACCCCAGGATGCTGCAACCATTGTAAATATATGCCGGTTGCCAAGCACCTGAATTTTGATCACATGACCACAGGAATGCTGCAACGGTCATAAGTGCAAGGAGCCATTGTAAGTCACTTTTTTCAGCACCACCGTAACTTTGAACAGTCATTAAAGGAATGGTCATAAGTTGAGGATTACCTGTACAGCTAGGATTCAGACTTCCGGGGGAGGTATGGTGAACTGAAGATGTCTCCTCAAAAAAGGAGCCTAGGACCATGGCAAAGACCAAGGAACCAGGGTGAATAGGCTGGTTCCTTTGAATCTCTTCAGACAAGGAGAAGATGGGAGATCACCCACATATGCTCCAGATGGCTGCTCCTCATGAGGAGACCACAGAACAGTGGTTTTCCACGGGTTTGAATGCAGGGATCAGTCATCTTGATTGCAACCATGGCGAAGCCTTTTAAAGGACACTAAGTTTGCAAACCTCACTTTCTAATCACTTTTGGAAATTGCCTATTAATAATCTTATAGGCTCCGTTCTTGGGTCATCCATAAACTGGGTTTCTTAACCCGGGACTATCTGTATTCTTTGTTCTACTGTATCACACCTGCATTTAGAGTATTATATCCAGTTTGGGGTGTTATGCTTCACTTTATTCCACTTTATTTTACTTTATTCTCCTCTCCTCTCCTCCCCTCTCCTCTCCTCTCCTCTCCTCTCC